GCCATGCTGAGGCAACTGCAACTACACCGGAGCGGTCACCTCGTGAGGGTGGAAGACACATGCCTACGATAGCAACTCGTCTATGGTGATATCGTCACGGGTGTTCGCCAATCAAACAAACCAAAAGGAAGCTACAAGGACACTTTGGCGAACTCTTTTAAACGTCTGCAGATCAACCCGGAGACCTCGTCCAGAACAGACCTGCCTGGACAGGAGGAGTGATGACTGGCGCAGCCATTTACGAAGCAAACCCGATCGCTGCAGCCAAAGCCAGAAGAGTAGCTAATAAGTCACAAGCGCCTCGGCTCCACAATATTAACAGCCAACTGTTTCCAAGATGCCTACGCTACCAACGCACATTCCGGGCGCACATCTGCCTCGTCGGACACCTTCGGACCCAACGCACCAACAACCTATCTACGCCAACTTATCATCCCACGACCACTTCTGCTCTTGCCGCTGTCGCAAACCCCACGACGACGACGACCACCACCACCTCCGTTACCGATGATCACACTGCCGCCGCCTTGCCTCCATCAACCACCGACATCATCTGCCCTGCCTGCTCTCACCATGCTGTGGAGTACACGATGGACGTCGTCGGTTACGACGGTCGAAATGTCACATTGTATTATTTTCCCAATGGGCTCAGTGTTAACTTTTTCTGGACAGTGCCTTCTGGGCGCTTAAAAGCAAACCTATTGCAATTATTAGCAGTTATTTACTCGCATTAAAAATGTCACCGAATTCGTCTTTGTAGTATGGGCATTTTATGTGCATGGCCTTCCTTGTCCTTTTCAGTACAGCAGCCAGACGCACTGAATATTGCACTCACACACACCGAATAACAATGAGCCATCCGGATTTGTTTGTTATTCTCCAGAGGCTGCCTCATCTCACGGTGTCAAATATCTTGATGAGATATATGTTGGTGCAGTGGTTGGTTACCGCTTCCTAACTTTTTTTCTATGGACTTTACGTTGCATATATCATGTCAATTATTTTGTCGCGTTTGTGGAGCCAATGTCAGGTCCTTAGAATAGACCCTTGCCCCAGGTATACAGTCCGGCAGTAGGGAAGATTTTATCGGCTATGCCAAGACGAGAGATGTCGCGGTGTTTGTTGCAGATTTACTGGTGTGTGAAAAATCGTTACTTCCGTAACATCTTTCCGAATTTCTCCCTGTCTCGGCACCTGGAACAATGAGGTAAGTCTGTCTGAGTTCGGACTCCATGTATTTGCTGGTCTCGGCTGTAATTGCAACTTTTGATTGCTTCTTGCGGAAAGTTCGGGTTATAGAGATAAGCGTTGGTCTCTACTAAAAGAAGTTTAATGATTTATTCTTCACAAAGTACAGATGAGTGGTTGGGAGGGCATTTAACAAGCCCGGCGTTTACGATTTTTTCGGGGTAGAGCTCCTACCTTTGAATGATTTCTCTATGTTATCAAAGGAGATCCAGATTGAATATTGAGGTACCTTGCAGTTATACACAACTGTATACGTTTAGTAAGGGACGCTGTCGTCTGAAAAGTAGTCGACCCTATCAACAAAGTATTTACAGCTGAGCATGTATGGAAGCGCTGTCCGGAAGGACTGTATATTTGGAACTGAACTTCAGAGGTTGGCATAGGTACCTCTGTTGTTGTCACAAATATTTGCCAAAAACGACAGTCCAATTTTTTTTATAAACACAAATGTGGTATTGAAATTCATGCTTTAAATTGGGATTGACTACCACAACCGGATTACACGTGAAATGTAGGAAAACGTCCGTCGTTCTGAGCGCATACATTCGCCTTCGACCATGTACGTGTAGCCGCGCAGGCATCGTGAGTTCGAAACCTAAAATAAACCTCCAGGTTTGCGTGAACAACCATGTCCGCCGATAATAAGTAAGGCGAAGGGCAGGTTGCATGTCAGTTGTCAATATGAAATGACATACAGGTTGAGCTTAATCAGTCTATCGAATATGACGAATTCCCAATATCTTCCACAAGTTTTCGTCCTTCGTCGAAACCGCCCAGTGAAGTCACTGCATTTCTTCGTCCAGGGCAGCCAAACCGGCATTCTGTTCTCAAAATGTGACTTAGCGAACGCAGCGAAGATCCGCGAGAAGAGTACGAGAGGAAAGATAACGAAAGGACGCCTAATCCGCTGGCCGGATGGATCACCGCGTCGGAATCTCTGAGACGAGACTCCATCTGCAATACCGCGGGAGGCCACAAGTTAAGTGACTCCCAAGGTAAGCGAACATTGATCTGCGGACGAATTTCCGTTTTCTTGTTTGTGTTTGTCCTTGTTGTAAGCTAAGCGCAGTTCTGTTGAATTTCCTCTGTCTAACTTTGCTTTCTGCTGTTCTTGCTTTTTTTTATCTACTTGTTCGGGTCCGTATATATTGTAAGTGGAATGCCGTTTGTTTACTTGTTGTTGCTTGTTTATTTGTTTCTATTTGTCTTTGCTGTACGTCAACTGCCGTTCTCTTGAATCTGTTTGATCATCACTTATAGTTCAGCAATCAGTTCACTTTGAGAGGGACGGGAAAGCTCTGCTTCTCGTTTCTCTACCCTTCCCCATCCCCCTCCGCCTCTTTAAGTCCTACAGCGATGTCGTAGGCAGGCCCAGGCTAACTCGGATTGTTCTTCCAAATGTCGTGGCCCATAGTGGAGTCCGGCAGCCGTCTGGGACAAATGAACAGCCCTATTTAGGGAGAGCACTGATCACTCCCGTAAGAAGGAAGGGGCTAGAAAATGTGTCCTAAATAAATGCTGGAAATCCACGCCGTCTGCAGGCTGACCGTGACCGCAAACGCAAACACTTGGTTGAAACAACACACTGTCTCTTCCCCCTTCCTCCTCCTCCTCGCCGTCCCACCCCACAGGCTACTAGGCTGAGTCAACTCACACCAGCAGTCTTGAATACTCGTTCCCTTTTAGACAATCCGAAAGGCAACCGAGCACAACGGAGGACGGCGCTAGTGGCACGGGAACTGGCGAATTACAAGGTGGACATCGCTGCACTCATTGAGACCCGGTTCTTCGAACAAGGAAAACTGGAGGAGGTTGGTGCCGTCTACACGTTCTTCTGAACCGGTCGAGACAAGGAAGACCGACGGAAAGCGGGCGTCGCTTTTGCTATCCGGAACGGCATCATAGGACGACTGTCCTGTCTGCCGCAGGGCATCAACGATCGCCTGATGAGCCTCCGCCCGCCTCTCCGGGGAGGCCCATTCGCCATCATCGTCAGTGTCCACGCTCCACCAATGATCAGCCCTGATGCCACAAGGTACGAATTATACGAGGACCTGCACGCCCTCCTGCGACTGTATCGAAGGCGGATAAGTTGATTGTCCTCGGTAACTTCAATGCTCGCATCGACACAGACCATGCCGCCTGGAGAAGAGTGCTGGGTCCCCACGGTCTCATTGGCACCAATGATAATGGCCTGCTCCTACTACGAACCTGCGCACAACACCGTTTCATCCTGACCAACACCTACCTCCGTCTCTCGATGCTAGAAATGACCACCTGGATGCACCCCCGGTCGCGACACTGGCACCTGCTGGACTAAGTCCTCGTCCGTAGGCTAGACCAGCGGGATATGTTGGTGACAAGGGCGATTTTGTGTGCCGACGGATGGACCGACCATCGTCTCGTCATCTCCAAGATGCGGATGCGCCAAAAGCCTCACAGGAGACCTCAAGGTAAGCGACCAGCAGGTAAGCTGAATATTGCCTTATTGTCTTTGCCTGCTCACCATCATCATTTCAGCAATGAGCTGGCTCACCAGTTAGCCAACCTTTCGGTCGCCGCGGCCGCTGACGAGAACGCCTCCGTGGAGAACCGATGGTGTCAACTGCGGGATACAGTCCAGTCGATGGCGTTTGCTGTTCTCGGTCACGCACGACGCAAACACCAGGACTGGTTCGATGACAACGACGCCGCCAACAGCAACCTGCTCGCTGACAAGAATCGACTGCACAAAGCCTACGTAAATCGCCCCACCGATGACAACAAGACAGCCTTCTACCATAGTCGCCGTCTTGTGCAACAGTGGCTCCGAGAGATGCAGGAGGCTTGGACGGCTCGCGAGGCCAAGGAGATCCAAGGGTACGCGGACCGCAACGAATGGAAGAATTTCTTCTCCGCTATCAAGGATGTCTACGGCCCGCCAACAAAAGCAACTGCTCCTCTTCTCAGCGCCGATGGCAGTACCTTGTCTGCATGTAGCGCGCGTAGACAAGGCCACTAGATATGTCAGCCCCCGCACCCGGTACGGAAGTCCTGGAACGGAGGCCGAACTCTTCAGCACTCACGACTTTCTGAGGCCAGTACAACTCCGCCAGAGAGGTCATCTCTCAGGGATGGATAGTGAATGTCTAACCGGACGACGTCGTCACAGGTGTCCGCCGATAAGGCGGATGACAGTGACGCTATGGCGACACGCCACGAACATCCCCCAGGATCAACAAATTAATCCGACAACTTGGAAGGACCTAGCTCAGGGACGACCAGCCTGGATAAGATTAGTGAGGACTAGAACAGCAGTCGATGAACCAAAGCGGGCACTGCTGCCAAGACCAAAAGAGAGGCTGGCAAGTATCGAACGCCAAGGGCCCAAAACCGCAACACCTAAATTTTGTCGTTATGCTCATGCTGTCAATGGACATTCCGCGCAGGGATTTGCGTTGTTGGACATTTTTGGGCCCAAAGGAAGCCTCTTCCACCCACCTCCGAAAATGCATCCGCTGTCATCTCTGCTGAGACTATAGCGATGACCACCACTCCCCGTGGGCAAACTCTCGATACACCGTCGGAGCCACCACCACATCCAACATAAATATCACAATCCCCGCGATGACGACTACCACGAATCACACGACCAGTCA